GGCTCTGGAGAAGTCCTGAAGATGAGCATGGGAGGAGGAGACAAGGGAGCTAGAGAGCAGGAGGTCGTGGGAGGAGCAGAGAGGACAGTTTGGGTGATATTTGGAGACAAGATTGGTGATGTAATTTGGGGCAGAGTTATAAATGGCTTTATATGTTATTGTTAATGTTTTGAATTTTATTCATTGGGCAATGGGAAGCCAGTGGAGGGATTGGCAGATATGGAATGGTTAGTAAGGTGGATGAGTCTGGCAGCAACATTCATGACAGACTGAAGAGGGGATAGCCTGTGATTAGGTAGACCAATGAGGAGGTAGTTACAATAGTCAAGGCGAGAGATAACAAGGGAGTGAATAAGTTGCTTAGTGGTTTCAGAGGTTAACAACAGGCGTATCTTGGAGATGTTGCCAAGCTGAAGTCTACAAGATTTGGACAGTGATTGGATTTGGGGCTGAAAGGACAGATGAGAGTCTAGGATTACACATAGTACCCTGGCATGAGGGGAGGGACTGATGGTTGTATTATTGATCTTGATGGAGAAGTCATGGGAGGGGGCATGGGCTGGAGGGAATAGTATGAACTCAGTTTTAGAAAGATTTAGTTTGAGGAAGTGGAGTGACATCAATGCTGATAAGTCACTTAGTAGGTTAGTAATGCGAGAAGAGACTGAAGGGGTGAGGTGAGGAGTAGAAAGATAGATTTGTGTGTCATCAGCATAGAGATGGTACTTAAAATCATGGGAGTTTATCAAGTGCCCAAAGGAGGAGGTGTAGATGGAGAAGAGAAGGGGTCCAAGGACAGAACCTTGAGGGATCCCTACAGAAAGAGGAAGTGGAGAGGAGGAGACAGAGTTATAGGTAACGCTGAAGGAGCGGTGCGATAGGTAGGAGGAGAACCAGGAGAGAGCAGAGTCTTGGAAGCCAAGAGAGTGGAGTTTTTTTTTAGGAGAAGGGGATGGTCAACAGTATCAAAAGCCGCAGAGAGGTCAAGTAGTAAGGGTATGGAGTAGTGGCCATTGGTTTTAGCAGTTAGAAAATCATTAGTGAGTTTTAGTAGGATAGTTTCAGTGGAGTGAGCAAAAGCTAGAGTGCAAAGGGTCAAGAAAGTTGTTGTCAGTGAGGTAGGAGCTCAAACGATTGTAGACTAAGTGTTCTAAAAGTTTAGAGGTAAACGGGAGCAGGTAGATGGGTCTTAAGTTGTTCAGGTTGGTGGGGTCCAGCGAGGGTTTTTTTAAGTATGGGAGTGATCTGTGCATGCTTTAGAGGGATGGGGAAGGCACCATTAGAGAGGGAGAGACTAAAGATGTGAGTGAGGGAGCATAGGACAGAAGAAGAGGGTGATCGTAGTAGTTGAGAGGGGACAGGATCCAGGGGACACGTGGTGAGATGAGCTTCTGAGAAAACTTTAGTGACCTCTTCAGTAGTAGCAAGGTCAAAAGAGGGAGGTTTAAGGTTTAATATAAGGTATGCTAAGTGGGATAGATGTCTGTGTAGCGGAGATGCCCCTATGAGTTGCATCAATCTTGTTTTTGAAATGATTTGCAATCTCATAAGTAGTGAGTGAGTTACTAGGTAGAGGTGGAGAAAGTAGAGAGTTAAAAGTAGAGAAGAGACCATGAGGACTGGATGACAAGGTATTAATAAGAGTGACAAAGTAGGCTTGTTTGGCAGCATGGCGGGAGGAATTGTATGTTAAAAATGCAGCTTAATATAGGGTAAATGCTTGTTGAGATTTGGTTTTACGCCACAATCGCTCCAGTGCACGACTATGTCTCTTAAGATTTCCGGAGTCGCCAGTCTGCCATGGTTGTAATGGTCTGGGCCTGATACTTCATGTAGTTAGAGGAGCAAGTCTAGTGTGGATGAAAGTGAACTGTTGTAGACAGCAGTGGCCAGGTCAGGGCAGGACAAAGAAGAGATTCTCTCATAGAGGCAGTCGTTGCAGAGTTGAAAAGAGAAGGGTTTAAGTTGTGAAGGTTCCTGAGGGAGGGTTATTGTTTGCTGCTTGGAGAAAGAGGAAAGTGTTTTTTGTAGGGAGTGCAAAGATGGGAGAAAACAAGGTCTTATGTATTCCCATCAGAGTGAGTGGAGGACTGTGTCCATTGTGTTAAGGCAAAAGATGAGGTTAGGTTGAAGAGTTGGGATGTAGCCGGGTTGTTCACATTAATTTGGATGTTAAAATCTCCAAGAAAGCAGCTGAAATGCAGTGAGTCTCGAAAGAAGAGAAGGGAGAAAGCAGCTGAATGAGTGGATAGAGAGGACATGAGGACATGAAAGGTGTTCAGTGGGGATAGAAGCAAACCAACTCCACCTCCTTTCCAACCACTTTGGGGGGAGGTTGGTCAAAACCAGACCATCCACAGACACAGGCCAAAGTCATAAAAGATGATTGATTTTCTGATCACAAAGGAGGTGAGAATCAATCACCACAAACAGACAAAAAGATATAGGACTAATAATACTAAATTTTGCAGAAAGTCATTGTGTAGCAGGGAGACAGGGAGAATAGTTTTGTGTCCCACTAGAGGCTGGATGTAGTGATCAGATCACCACTTTGGTCCTTTGGTTCATTCTTCTAAACATTGTTAATAAAACTGCTGATATTGTATCCACCCTATTATTTTGTGACTGTGCTCACTGCTACAAAAGTCTCCATCAATGTTGACATGGGAGGTGCCAGGAATATGGGATACAAAATTATTTTTATGACACCTCACCATGGCAGCATTAGTTCTTGCCCTCCCCCCTTTATTTTAAGACTACTGAATCAGTAGCCACTTCATCCATGAGGAAAGAGACTGAACCAGAATGGAAGGGAGTATTAAAAACAACTTACACACGGATCATGAAAAGACACAAAAAAGGGAACACACATGCAAGGGCATGCAAGGGATTCTTATAATGCTACACTGAAGGGCTTTCCAGGGGTAAAGTGGGTGGAGCTAATCCCATCAGTTCTGCCATTGTGAAATTCCAGGAAAGAACTAGCTATGCACACTTACAAAGTAGTCAGAGTTAAGGGTACTTTACCAGACATATATTGATGTTGTTCATCTTGGTGTTGGCATCTAACCTTCAATTACCTGAGAATAAAGGTTTATTTTAAAAGGGTTAAGGTTATTTATCGACAAAAAAAGGGGGGAGAGATAGGCGCTAAAGAAGCAAAAATTGCCAAAGACCATACAGGAATATGACCATAAATTAAACAAAAAAGTCCATGATAAGTCAATCAAACGTCTATGACTTCAAATGTATGTAGGCACCAGCGGCAGCACCCTCCAGAGTGAAGCTGAAGCTCTGATTGCTGTATGGAAAGAAAACCCAGTGTCTGCAACCCTTTATGTGATAAATAACCTTAAAGAAAACACAGAGGGGTGCCAGATTAAGTGCAGTATGGGACAATTCTGTTTATTAGCAAATTAGAAACTCACTATTGAGCAGATAGAATGGGCATATAAAAATATCACAGCATGGAACGCAAGATGGTCTGACGAAGAAGCGGGAGCTTCAAACTGCGGTACCTAAGGTCTGACAAAGAAGCGGAAGTTTCGTAATGCGCCAGTTTTTGGAGTGATGTCTCCTTGGTGTCATCGCTTCCAGTGCAACGCCATCTTGCGTTCCACGCTGGCTGCAGCTGCGTTCGGCCGCTTGCCACTGCTTCCCTCCTGGACTTGGACTACAGCAGACCACGGATCGCCCTGGGGAACCTCCTGAGATGTTTTTATATGCCCATTCTAACTGCTCAATAGTGATTTTCTAATTTGCTAATAAATGGAATTGTCCCATACTGCACTGAGTCTGGCGCCCCTCTGTGTTTTCTTTAAGGTTATTTATTACCTAAAGGGTTGCAGACACTGCAACACTGAGATTGCATCAGGCAGTTGTAATGAAAGAAGACACTTCTATTCAGATGACAGTTTTGTCAAAGGACATGATGAAACAAACATCAGGAACTTGCCAAAAGTTTACTTTAATCTTTGCAACATCAGGATTTAATTTTTCTCAAAGAAACTGAAGTTGCTCAGTCAACCAAGCCACAATCACTACCACAGTCAGCCTAACAAAATGTACACTATTTGGATTAACTTGATAATCTTGGTATTTTCTATGCTTCTGTTGTGCCTTTTATTTAATGAAGATTGCTGCACCCTTGAAAAGTGATCCACTGGAGCTCTTCTTACCTTGCATAAGCAGTAATGCTATAGGACCCCACATTAAAAAAAAGTATCAGCCTACACCAACCATTTGCTTTTTTTTTTTCCTCTGTCCAGTTTTCACATTAACTGTGATGAACCATCTGGCACCTCGACTGGGTGTCTCCTTCAAACAGTGCCTTCTGTCCTCCAAATCCTTCCAGCAGACCAATAGCTAATACCAGCCCTTTACCCCAAGCATCATACACAAACAAGATGTTGAAGTAAAACCAAAGGAATAACTGTTTATGAAAACCCAGACACATACTTTTATACCCCCAGGAGAACATTCCCCTCTTGGGGATATTAGCATAGATAAGATGTACAACAAGTAATAACATGACTATGCAACCTTTAGACATTAATCTAATTAACCACTTCAAGTCCGGACACTTTTACCCCCTTCCTGTCCAGGCCAATTTTCAGCTTCCAGTGCTATCACGATTTGAATGACAATTGTGCTGTCATGCAACACTGTACCCATATGAATTTTTTAGCATTTTTTTGAGACAGATAAAACTTTAGTTTGGTGGTATTTATTCACCACTGGGATTTTTATTTTTTTTTGCTATATAAATGAAAATGTCCAAAAATGTTTAAAAAAAGTGTTTTTCTTATAAAATTTAGCAAATACATTTTTTTATATTATTATTATTTAGGTTTTTTTTTTTTTTTAACATACTGTCACCCTAGCAGTACAGTGTCACCATAGATTTTTTTTTACACTGATTGTTTTTACAACCATATAGGCTATAAAAGCAATCATTTCTCCTCTCTGGCAGCATTCTTGCAGCCATTGAGAAATACTGGGAGAGCTGTGATTGATCACAGCTTGTCACATGGTACAAGGCTGTCGTGAATAGCCTTGTACCATGTGACCTCTGTGATCATTCACAGATTTCACTAGTAGTAAGCAATAATGTCAGGAAGTGACATCTTGCTTACTACTATTCATGTGATCACTGATTAGCCAATCAGTGATCATGTGGGACCTCACACAGAGGTCCCGGACAGCGATCCCAGGGAGCACGCACAGGTTGTAAATGCGGGCGCCGTTTATGAATGGCAACCCGCTCCTGCACTTCTCCCGTCCGGCCGTTTATGTACATGGGCCGGACAGGAAGTGGTTAACAGCTACGCACCTAGACAAGTCTTATCAGTATGGCTAGTAGTCACAGGAATTTCCCACCCTGCCACCTTTGTCTATGTGCTGGAAAACATGTCCAGAAGTCTTGATTAGCCCACTAGGATACCCAAAAACAGTTCCACAGCCATATATAGGTAAAGTACATTACACCACTCATTTCTATATGTCCCACCCCATATCCAGCTCGGATCTAGGTTACCAATTAACACATCTTTGGTGGAATAGTATAGAAAGTTAATATAAAGCTGGTAGTAGCCGGGGCATAATGTGCAAATGCTGCATTATGCAGCTCTCAAGGACAAGCTGGGGCAAGACAAGAAATATCCCTGGCTGGTGAAGGTGCATCTGCACAATCTGTCTGACACAATGTTCCCGCAGATGCACCTCTGTGCTGGAGGCTGCCTGGCCGCATAATCCGGTAGATACCTTCTGCCAGTCAAAGGGTTTCAGGACCCGGCTCCCCAATGACTTATCTAAACTATTTACTCTCAATTTTGCCCCTCTGATCACAATATTTCAGACCGACTTCTCGACCTGGTCCTCCAAGAACCTCTCTTGAATACAAAAGTGTAACACTGTCAAGCAAAATGTCCTCCCTCAGCTACTTTACTTGTATCAGACAATACTTATCCATATTCTCATGCAATATTTTAAATCCCTCCAATCCCTTATTAACAATTTTATATGGTCCAGGAAACCCACTCGTTTGAAGCATTCCATTCTGGAGGATGAAAGCATCTGGAGGGATGGTGTTGCCAGATGTCTGCTTATGCTGCCTAGCAACTCATTTAATGAGGGCTCTATACTGGTTCAGACATAGATCCATTAATCAATGGGTTTCGCTTGAACAAGAAGCCCCAGTTATCCTAGGGTTATCTGACAGACCGAACCATGACAGGGGCTTTTGGGGGGGGGGGGGGGCTAGGGGCTAGCCTTCTACCCACTGATTATGGCCCTTGGAGAGAGTAGATCATTCTCTAATGAAGGACAACATCATGATGGATGCTGAGAGCAAGGCTTAAAATTATATCATATAGCGGGGTCTCCGAACTTTCTAAACAAAGGGCCAGTTTACTGTCTTCAGACTTTACGGGGTCTGACTGTGGATAGTGATAGTAGAAAACATCCTGGCATCAGTGGGAGTCAACAGTGCCCCATCATTGGTGTCATTGGGGGAATAGTGACCTGTAGTTGATGTCAGTGGAAGGAATAGTGCCCCATCAGTGGTATCGGTGGGGGAGATAGTGATCTATTGTTGGTGTAAGAGTCAGAAATTATGCTAAATCATTGGTGTCAATGGGGAGACTAGTGCTCCAGGGGCTAAATAACGGCAAGCAAAGGGCTGTTTCCGGCCCTCGGCTGCAGTTTCAAGCAGTGTTCATCTTGTTGACTAAACTATTTGAGTCAACTAAAATACGACTAAAACTAATTCAGATGACTAAAATGCAATTAAAACTAAAATGGCATTGTAGACAAAAGACTATGACAAAACCTAAATCGAAGTTTGGAATCAAAATTGGTTTGTTAGTAACTGGCATAAGGTACAGGATAGCTAGAAAAGGACATAAATGAAGATATATGGGAAAGGATGGAACTGAAGGCTAACAGAGTAGAAACAACAAGACTGGATGGCCCAGTGGGGTTACCATGGACATTGTGACATACACCATCACTGAAATTTAAGATGGAACAGATGGAATTAAAAATGTATTCGACATAAAGGAATGATCTCCTAGATTGTAAATTCTAACAAGCAGGGCCCTCTGTTTCCTCTTGTACCAAATTGTATTGTGACTGTAATGTCTACCTTCATTTTGTAAAGCGCTGCAAAAACTGGTGGCGCTATATAAATCCTATATAATAATAATAATTCTCTGAGTAAAAACAATACAGCTTCCCTTCTGGAGTGGATGGAAAGGTGTAATATTAACCAATTCAATACCAGGCAATTTTACACCTTCCTGCCCAGGCCATTTTTCAGGTTTCAGCGCTCTCACACTTTGAATGACAATTGCGCGGTCATACAACCTTGTACCCAAACTAAAATTTTAGCATTTTCTTCACACAACTAGAGCTTTCTTTTGGTGGTATTTAATCATCGCTGGGGGTTTTTATTTTTTGCTAAATTAACAAAAAAAGACTGAAAATTTTGAAAAAAAAACACGTTTTTCTTTGTTTCTGTTATAAAAGTTTGCAAATAAATAATTGTTCTTCGTAAATTTAGGCCGAGATGTATTCTGCTACATGTCTTTGGTGAAAATAACCCAAATTAGGATGCATTTTTTAGTTTGTAGGAAAGTTATAGAGTTCACAAACTATGGTATAGATCTGAATATTGATCAATCCTGAAGTACTGACAATCTAATTTCTTGAGGTCCAAGAATGTCAGAACAGTACAGATATCCCCCAAATGACCCCTTTTTGCAAAGCAGACAGTCCGACATACTTCATAAGAGGCATGGCAAGTTTTTTTTAAGTTGTATTTTTTTTGTCATCATTTTTCGGAAAATGAAAAAATAAAAAAAATTATTTTACTATTTTTTTTTTTTTTTACATACTGCCACTAGTGCAGTACAGTGTCATCATATAACTGTCATGGCAGTGATCAGGGACACTGACTGGTGACAGTGTGAAAAAAAAAATATTTTTTTTTTTTTTTATTATTATTTTAAATTTTTTATTACATTTGTTTTCTTTTTTTTTAAGATTTTCTTTTCATATGTCACTATGTCCAAAGTAGTACAATGTTACCATAGTAACATTGTACTACTTTGGGGAAGTGATCAGTATTTTTTATTTTATTTTTTTTTTACACAATTTGCTTATAGCAAAGAATTACTTTGCTATAAGCAAGCATTTACCTGAATGACATCGATTCATTCAGGGGTTTTTTTTTTTTTTTTTTTTTGTGCTTAGCTGTGATTTGGCCACAGCTAATCACATGACATGTGCATGTGATTAGCTGTGACCATTCACAGCTAGACACTAGTATACAATGGATGGCATGAATGAAGCCATCCATTGTATACAACTGTCATGTGACCTGCTGTGATTGGTCACAGCAGGTCACATGGTACCGGCAATGGGGGCCGGTACTCAGATCTGTCAGCGGCCGTGTCCGTGGTACACGGCCAGTGACAGATCGCGCGGCTGCGCGGCTCTACAAGCGCGCGAACTGCACATGTGCGGGAGGACGCCATATGGCGGCCTCCCGGAAAGCTAGTACATTTTTCAGGATGCCATATGGCTATTGGCCGGGCGTCAAACGGAGGCACATCAGGCTGGGCAGCGGACGGAGGCACATCAGGCTGGGCAGCGGATGGAGGCACATCAGGCTGGGCAGCGGATGGAGGCACATCAGGCTGGGCAGCGGACGGAGGCACATCAGGCTGGGCAGCGGACGGAGGCACATCAGGCTGGGCAGCGGACAGAGGCACATCAGGCTGGGCAGCGGACAGAGGCACATCAGGCTGGGCAGCAGGCACCGGGCCATCAGGCGGAGCAGCAGGCACCGGGCCATCAGGCAAGGCAGCAGGCACCGAGGCATCAGGCGGGGCAGCAGGCACCGGGCCTACAGACGAGGCAGCGGGCACCGGGCCATCAGACGAGGCAGCGGCGGGCACCGAGGCATCAGGCGAGGCAGCGGGAACCGAGGCATCAGGCGAGGCAGCATCGGGCACCGAGGCATCTGGCACGACAGCGGGCACCGAGTCATCTGGCACGACAGCGGGCACCGAGTCATCTGGCTCGACAGCGGGCACCGAGTCATCTGGCTCGACAGCGGGCACCGAGTCACCAAGCTCGACAGCGGGCACCGGGTCAACTGGCACGACAGCGGGCACCAGGTCAACTGGCACGACAGCAGGCACCGAGTCAACTGGCACGACAGCAGACACCGAGTCAACTGGCACGACAGCGGGCACCGAGTCATCTGGCAGGACAGCGGGCACCGAGTCATCTGGCACGACAGCGGGCACCAAGTTATCTTGCAGAAGAGCAGGCACCAAGTCACCAGGCCGGACCACGGGCACCGAGTCACCAGGCCGGACCACGGGCACCGAGGCACCAGGCCGGACCACGGGCACCGAGGCACCAGGCCGGACCACGGGCACCGACGGGCAGGCCAAGCCGGACCACGGGCACCGAGGCACCCCAGGCCGGACCAGGTCGTCAGGCTGGATCGGGTCATCGGGCTGGATCATGAACACCAGGTCATCAGGCTGGATCAGGCCATCAGGCTGGATTGGGTCATCAGGCTGGATCACGAACACCAGGTCATCAGGCTGGATCGGGTCATCAGGCCGGATCGGGTCATCAGGCCGGATCGGGTCATCAGGCCGGATCGGATCATCAGGCCGGATCGGGTCATCATCAGGCCGGATTGGGTCATCAGGCCGGATCGGGTCATCAGGCCGGCTGGGTATCAGGTATACCAGATCATCAAGCTGGATCGGGTCATCAGGTCGGATCGGGTCGTCAGGCCGGATCAGGTCGTCAGACTGGGTAGCGTACACTAGATCATCAAGCTGGATAGGATCATCAGGCCAGATCGGGTCATCAGGCTGGATAGCGGGCACTAGATCATCAGGCTGGGTAGGAACATCAGGCCGGGTAGCGTACACTGGGTCATCGGGCATCAGGGTATCAGGCTGAATTGCGGGCGCCGGGGCACCAGGCTGAACCACGGAAGGCGGGTTCTCAGACGGCAGGCTGACCGGTTTGGATACTTGCAGGATGGTACTGGTTGGAAAGAATTTTCGCCTTTTCCTGGTTTTAGTTACTGGAGTACTGTAAGTAAGCGCAGGTTTGTAAACGGATAGAGCAGCTGTAGGCAGAGAAGAGCTGGGGGATGGAACAAAGGAGGGAGCAGTTGCTACAGAGGACTTCTTTACAGGGTTAAAGGCAGGATAGGTGCAGCGAGTGTGTAAGGGACCGCCCGGCGGTACCACTAGCACTCCACTGATCGGTCGTTCCCAGCGTACGGAGTCTAAGCCCCAGAGTACTTGTTCACCAGAGCCCCTGATGGTGGGGATGGACTTGGAGTACCCTGGGACCAGGTCGTGACTACTGAGGACACCCGTCAGTGGTAGGGGTATTCGCCAGGGGCTCCCACGGGAGAGAGCCAGGTATGAGGAGGTCTGGAGACCCCGTTGAGAGGGATGGATGGATGGATGGATGGCTGAGCAAGTGCAAGGTCATACAAGCCGGGTCGGTAACTATGGGGACGGTGCGGTACAGAGCAGCGGGCAAAGAATAGTCGGGTCACACGCCAGGTCAGCAACAGCAGGTCAGATCCAATAGGGGGCATTCAGGAGAGAGGTCAGGCAAGCAAGGGTCAAGAACAGGAGAAAACAGCAAGGTCAGGGCACAATCCGGGTCAATAACTTACTACAACAGGTTCACAGGATACAAGGAGACCAGAAGGCACTGAATGACAGCTCAGGGCCGTTTAAATATCCCGCCCTGCGCTGTCATTGGTGCCAGGCGCAGCGCGCCCGCGATCTCTACTGCGCATGCGCGAACTTGGTTGCCGGGGTCGGCCAGGTCCCGGCGCCCGCGTTCCTGCACAGGGTGGCGCACTGCGCCTGCGCCGAGCCCAGCGGCGCGGCGATCCCCGACATTGCCCCCCCCTACGGGCAACCTCCGGATGCCCACCCGATCTCTCCACGGGTGATCGCGAAGAAACTCTCGGACTAGTCTAGGTGCGTGGACATTACGAGCCGGTTCCCAGGAATTGTCCTCTGGACCATAGCCCTTCCACTTGATTAGGAATTGGGTCTGGCCCCCCCTTCTTCGGCACTTAAAGATCGTTTCCACCTCAAATTCCTCTTGTCCTTCGACAGTTATGGCCTCCGGGGGTCTGGATTCTCGTTCTGGGAAGGCATCTGGGATCACTGGTTTCAGCAAGGATACGTGGAAAACTGGGTGAATTCTGAACGTGTCAGGAAGGATAAGCTCATATGCTACTTCGTTGACCATCCGCTTTACCCGAAAAGGCCCCACAAATTTAGGTCCCAATTTTTTCGAGGGACAGAGCATCTTTAAATTGGTTGTGGCCAACCACACCTTCTGCCCAGGCCGCAACGCCAAATCTCCTCTTCGTTTCTTGTTAAATGCTTTCTTATTGTCCTCTTGGGCCCGAGCGATGGCTTCCTGGAGTATTTTGTTATTGGCGGAGAAGGTTAATGCATCCTGCGTCGCCGGAACTGGGCATTCAGAGACCAAATCAGGGAGAAAGACAGGGTGAAACCCATAATTAGAAAAGAACGGGGACTGCCCCGTTGCAGAATGGCTTGCGTTGTTATAAGCGAACTCCGCCAGGGGTAAGAGTGACAACCAATCATCCTGCAGAAAAGACGTGTAGCAACGCAAGTATTGCTCCAGGGTCTGGTTCGTCCTCTCAGTCTGACCGTTGGTCTGAGGGTGGAACGCAGAGGAGAGAGACAACTTGATGTTCAGGGCCTTGCACAGAGCCCTCCAAAATTTAGATGTAAATTGGACCCCTCGATCAGAGACAATGTCCTCAGGTACTCCATGAAGTCTAACGATTTCCTGGATAAATATTCGCGCCGTCTCGGCTGCTGACGGAGTCTTCCTTAGTGGCACGAAGTGAGCCATTTTGGATAGGCGATCAATGACCACAAGAATGGCTGTGTGATCTTGCGACGGTGGGAGCTCGACTATGAAGTCCATCGCGATCCTCTGCCAAGGCCGTTCGGGAATTGGCAAAGGTCGCAACAGCCCCCAGGCTTTGCTCCTCAATGGTTTGCTCTTCTGGCAGATGGTACAGGATCTCACGTAGCGCTTGCGATACCTAGCCATGTTTGGCCACCAAAAAGAGCGTCGGAGAAGCTCCAGAGTTTTAACTGGGCCAAAGTGTCCAGCCAACGGTGATCGTGGCAATGCCCCAAAACCAGGGTCCGGACCTCCTCAGGTACTACGATTGAATCTTCCTTCCACAGGAGTCCCCCCTTGTTCTGGAGGGATATCCCGACTGGGGTTGATGTAGCCGTAGATGCTTCTATTAGCTTGGAGCGAAGGTCCGTCTGGAGCGCCAAGAAGTTCCCTGAAGACAGGATAGTGTCGGGTACCAGTTCTTCTTCGGAGTCCTCATACATATGGGATAGCGCGTCGGGCTTCGTATTCTTAGATCCGGGCCTGTAGGTAATATGAAAATTAAACCTGGAAAAGAACAAGGCCCATCTCGCCTGCCGTGGGCGTAGACGCTTGGCAGTCCTCAGATACTCTAGATTCTTGTGGTCTGTGAAAATCAATATGGGGTGTGAGGCACCTTCCAGCAGGTACCTCCATTCCTCTAACGCGGCTTTGATAGCCAACAGTTCTCGATCACCGATATCGTAATTTTTCTCCGCTGAGGTGAGTTTCCTCGAGAAGAAAGCTACGGGATGGAGTAATTCTTTGGTGCCTTTCCGCTGAGACAGGATGGACCCTACCGCATTCTCCGATGCATCTACCTCCAAGATGTAGGGTAGGGCCGCGTCCGGATGACCCAGAATGGGTGCCGAGGTAAAAAGCTTTTTCAGGCCTTCGAAGGCTTCTTGAGCCCTCTGGTGTCCATTTGAACCGGGTTCCAAGTTTGGTTAGTTGAGTAATGGGGGAGACCAGACCCGAGAAGTTCTTGATGAACTTCCGATAAAAGTTTGCGAACCCTATAAACCGTTGGACGCCTTTTTTGTCCGTGGGTTCAGGCCAATCTAAAATTGCAGAGACCTTTGGGGGTCCATCGCGACCCCCGCAGTGGAGATAATCAGGCCTAGAAACGTGATGCTAGATTGCTCGAAGCAACATTTCTCCGCCTTGGCATATAACCCATGCTGCCGCAACCGCCCCAATACCTTTGCCACATGCATCCTATGATCCTCCAGGGAGGGTGAAAAAATTAGTATGTCGTCCAAGTAAACGATAACGAAGACATCCAAAAAATCCCTGAAGATGTCGTTCACGAAATGTTGGAAGGTGGCTGGTGCATTGCACAGCCCAAATGGCATGACCAGGTATTCAAAGTGGCCAAACCGGGTATGGAAAGCCGTTTTCCACTCGTCCCCTCCCTTATGCGTACCAGGTTATAGGCTCCCCTTAAATCAAGTTTTGTGAATATGACCGCAGCCTTTAGGCTCTGAAATAGTTCTGGTACCAATGGCAACGGGTAACGATTTTTGATCGTGACCCTGTTCAGCTCCCGATAATCGATACAAGGTCTCAGGGTTTTGTCTTTTTTCTCCACGAAGAAGATTCCCGCTCCTGCTGGAGAAGTGGAGGGGCGGGATGAATCCCTTCTGGAGGCTGTCCTCAATATATTCCTTTAGGGCCCCCAACTCAAGCTCAGATAGGGGAAAAATTCGCCCAAAAGGAATCTCAGAGCCTGGTAATAGGTCGATTGGACAGTCATACGGGCGGTGGGGGGGCAGAGTATCGGCTCCCCGCTTACTGAATACATCCAGGAACCCATGATAGGCTGCGGGAATAACCTGTCTCAAATCAGAGTCTCCTTCAGAGCATAGGAGAACTTGGGGCCCTGCAGGGCCCGAAGTGCAACAATGTTCCCGACAGTATGGGGAAGGGAATGAGATTGACCCGGTTTCCCAGTCAATCTGGGGGTTGTGGGCCCGTAGCCATGGGAGCCCCAGAATGACTG